ATATAGGCCTATAAGTTTAAAACACAAATAATAAATGAGGCTCAATCCTCTATTAACAAACATGCGTGTTTATTTTAGCACTTCCGTCAGTGAACACGCGGCCTGCAAAACACTAAAATAAATATCAAAGAAATAATACAGTTAAACAAGAAAGTAGACTGAATAAGAAAGTTAAATGCACCCTGTCTACTGGATGCGAGCGACACGGCGCAACACAACAAAATACTATAGAACTCATTATAATCAGTGATGCTACACTGGATGCGGTGTGACACGACATGACAAATCCCCGACAGTAATCTGCCTCGTTCGGTTTATGAGGTACTGACACAAAGTTCAAATGTCTTGTGTAGACAGACTCAACCTGTTGCGACGCGGCGGTGTCGTGTCCGGTGTAGACACGGTTCACTGTTCCGCCGCCAAGCAAGCGGGCGCATTAACTCCTCATCTGCACGTGCCTAACCCTAACCGCTGTGTATGGCGTTTGAGGTCATTTGTGAATTATGCTACCATAGACTTATTGTCTAAATAAAATTCGTATTATGCTTGTTATAGAGTGTGTGACGTCACGTGCACTATTGCCAGTGGCAGTAGACACGGTTGTCATGGCGACTGTCACAGCCTTAGTTTTTACCTAGAAATGAACACATTTCCTGATTTCGTATACCTGGAATTTCAGCTTGATCCACCGGTATCATCATTTGTTGTAACTGGATGCATGAGGAAGAAAAAAACAATCTTGTTTTCAAGCCAAGGAATAATTAGCTTTGAGGACTTATGTTTGTTAGACTGTGATGTTTAATTCATGAACATGCAGATTTTAAACTTGTCAAGGAAGTCTGCGATCAAAGTAATCTGCCCTTCTGACTTAAATGCAAAATTCTATCAAAGGTCTGTCGGGAACTCATTTGCAAGAAACCACAAAAAAGAAGCCCCTCAAAAGCCTGTAAACCTGGACATGCTTTTTTTTTTTTTTGATTGATTGATTGATTTATGGTAGCCCATTCTATGTGTTTAACATTTTGGGTGCAAGTAACAACACATCCTTAGTAGACTGCCTGACAGTTTCAAGATTTTTTTTTTCCAGAGGACAGAAGACAGCACGTCTGATGTTTTTCTCGGAATTATGCTTTGTTTCGCAGATTTGGCCTTAAATCCTTTTTATGTGATTATACCATATTTACTTCCTCTTTGATCCATACGTCAGACATACGAGCCTACGGTGCATCCTCTGATATATTTTGCTGATTAAGTCTAGGATTAAACACCACATGGTGTCTGTTCTTAGATGCTTGTTTGTGACTTTTATTTTTCCTGTCCATGGGATCTTTAATAGTCTGAGGTAGGGCTGCCACTAATAGGGTTGGGTACCGAACTCGGTACTTTTAAGGGTACCGACCGAAT